CTGTAGCGCACACCTCGTAGTCTGTCTGAACAGATGCATCCTCTAAGGCGGAAGTTATCAAATTGATCCAAGAGTTGCGCATAAAAAACGGTGTCGAGTACCGGTGGCTTCCCCTAGTTTCAATCTAAACATGGTAGAATAAATCTTGTTAGAAAACTAAAAGCTCTGTTTTCTAAGGTTTCAAATACTTCTAAGGTCTTCTCCTCGTGGGGAGAATCGATTTTTGTCCTCATTCTTGGAAAACGTACTTGCAGTGACTGCAACCACAGGGGTATATTCCTAATCTAAATAGCATCAAACTTGTGATTGCTTGCGTGCGCGTGCAGAACAGATCCGCGAGAAGAAGGCAATGGTCGTGAATACTTTGGTCACATGTTCACCCTCTGTCGGTTACAAGAGCACTGTCATGCTTTCCGAAGACCAGCGATTATTGTGTTCTTAGACATCTTTAAACACTATATCAACCTTCGATTCCTTTACCAGGACTGCACGGTTAAACTACTTGTAATCGATGAAATACCTCAGACATTTGTGTCAATCGTCGAAGAGTTGCATTGCCGTACCTCAACTCGTAATAGGGAGGATAGCCAGCTGTCATCACAATTAGACGTCTTCATTGGNTCATTGGGATGTGATAAGGCTGTTCTACATCTCCCTTCCATTTCAACTTTGCCACAGATTATACTCTCTGGACTACTATTTTCAGATCAAGCGAACTGTGGAGTTAAAATCCTCGAAGGGAAAGAAGTTATTGAGTAAAAATATATCGATAACATCACTTTCCTCGATGGCACTCCACGGGAATTTCAACGCTCTTTAACCCGACTGGTGATCAAGTTATCCAGACAAAATATAACATTTGTACTATGTAATTGAATAGTATCTGTGCATGACTGGAAGGGGTCAATGTCTGCATTCGCCGTTTGTGGTGATCATCTAGAAGCAGTTGAGAGCCTTAATTACCTCATAAGCGTAACCATAGCTAGAGAAGCTTTTGCCGACTTGCGACAACTGTAGTCTCCTCCATGACACTTGATTAGTCCCTAAGAGAACGGTATACATCACAGCAAGTCATCCAGTTTTGCTTTACGGTTGCGAAACCTGACCACTTTGAGCTTATTATACCAAGCGGATTGCCGTATTCCATCATCAATATAATTAAAGCATCGTTCGTGTCTAATGGGAATATTGGGTGATCGATGACTAGGTTCTTCATAGGGTGTTGCGTGAGGATAGTGGTTCTGTAAAGGAAGTAATCGTTCTACAAAGCATCCAGTGTCTCTGTCACAATTTAACTGCCTGTTCTCTATCTTTCCTCGTGCTGTGTTTCGATTAATGTTGGTTAAGAACACTGAAAAATATGGCGCAGAATAGAATTTAGTGTGGTTTATAAATCTGTATAATTATATATATTATATATATAATACGTAGTATGTGAATGACTGGACAAATTTCCCTGGAAGCACGCAACCGGTTTCGCGATCCTTGTCCCTCGTCAGGCATGCGTATCCGGTAATCTTTTGTCAGTTCATTCATATACTTGTACCCGGGAAGTAGATTTTTCCACTTACAACCCACTTACAAAAACATCATAGCATTTATTCTTCAATGGATTGCCTCTGAAAGAGCTGTCTATCCATATGTCACCCGGTGATGCAAACAAGGTTGTTGTGTCGAATATATATATATATATGTATATATATATATATATCGTTTTAAGCATTACTGAGTTATCATCACGGAAGCTTTTATCCATACAGCACAAATCCAACGTCGATGAATGCTAATCCTGAACAACGTATCATATCAACTGAGTCGGTCCTATTTCATTCCTAAACCACTATGGGTAGAAACCGCACACCAATCATCAAGCTACAACCCGTTTAGATCTCTGAAAAAATCTCTCCTAACGATAAGTTACTGTTCAATCTTGGTGAATTTGAATTTGAGGGAAATTGAAACCAAACCAATTTTTATTCACTTTCACTTTTCATTATCCTTTGTGCTGGAAATCAACATTATAATAAATTTAACTCTTAAAAACGTATTCTATTTACCTTAACTTTGGGGAAGAAAATCGTAATCGGGGAAATCATTTAAAAAAGCAAGTTTACTAAACTCTCTGACCCCAATTAAAGGATATGTATCGACTTATCCCTCGGAATTTCTCCAGTAAGAATGCTCCAGCTTCTACATGGATATAATGGATATATGGAGCATCAGGTTCATTTTATCCCGTTTGAAGCAGTAACAAAACCAGTCGTATATGTTTCGTGCACTTTTCGGTACAGAATGCGATGTTTTCGTTTAATTCTGCTCACTATTCACGAGTAGACAAAGGAAGATTAACCGGATGACTGTTGAATCTCTTTGAGATTGACGAATGAACGACCATAAAAACAATCACTCCTGACAATTCCGACATCTGATTAAATAATTGCATAGCGCGATAGCTTTTTCAGCCTTTCGTACACATGCATCCGTTTTAACCGCTCGGGCCCACAAACTGATTGTCTGATTCCGTTTATAAACGTCCATGTTCCATTCTCGTTGTGGTCCAGGAAGCGCCTGATGTCGCTTCAACACGTATCACCCTGGGATTCGTACGTGTAGAGTTTTTCTACGCCAGATGAATTGTCCATTCCACTGAAATAATTAGCATTCATGTGCGTTCAGAAATAAACCAAAGACTATGGAACACATGATGAACAAACATTTAAAAGTTATGAAAAATTGACTGAAAACTGGAGCGAAATTAGGAACAATGTAAGCTATTGCCATTTGTCGCGTTCACTGACCTAACAGCAAAGAGAAGATGGTCTGTCCGCTTTGAACCGATGGGGATGACGGACTTTTCAATAATGGCTCAGATAGTGAGTTATCTTTTTCCTAAAGAGCAATTTTAGAACGTCGGGTGATTCGAGCACAATATGCTAGTTACCTCCATCGAATCATCGAGGGTCAAAGCGACAATCGCTCTTCTTGTTCATATTGATAACCAAAGACAGAACGTGGAAAATCATATGCTGCGTAAAATCAAACCCAACGCTTTGGTTCTTTTAGTCTTCAACTTGTTTCTTATTTTGAAAGAGTCGGGGTTAGAATGAATATAAAGTATTATCTACAACATGTTTCACATCACACTCAAGTGAAAAAGATAACCAGGTAGCATTTTTCACATTGTAGTCTACGGTCTAAAGTGGAGCAACGCACACCGACCAAATCCTAAATTTCAAGTATAATCATCCACAGATAATATATAATGTGAGGATTAAATTCAGAAGAACACTAAAGCACAGAAACTGAAAGAAACAAGGATAATTCTCTGGTGTGTTCGTTTGCCACGGTCTCATCCACAGTTACGTCAAACAAACCGTGCCCAAAGAACAGAGACAAAATATAGACGGGTATCAATAGCGGGAACAAATCGAACGTACATTCAGGCAGTTTCAGAAATGTGAGCCGGACTGCTGAGACGATACACAATCCAAGTTGCGCCCAACCCGACCACCAACCAACCCATGATGAATCCTCTTAAAGTCAAAGTCAAAAAATTAAATAAAGGGTCAACATCCCATGTAAATAAACCACAAGGGCTGTCCAAAACATCCTGTCGAACAAACTGGAAGAAAATTACTGAACAGCGGTCGGCGGTTAGGAAGCATGATCAAATCTTCTCTCTTTCGCTCAAACAAAGTCACCAAGGACACATTTTTCACTCTATGACTCAATCCGAATCATTGGCCTAGAAAAGTAAAACAGCGCAGATGATTTCTCGTAACTTAGCATTGTTGGATCAACTTCAGAAGAGACAAAGCGAACTGGATGATGTGTACATGTTGATACCACTCAACAAAGGACTGGTCACGTCATCATTTGACCTAGCGGGGCCTTTGAATTCGGCAGCGCCATTTATCTCAAAATTCATATCTACACTTTTAAGGATTTATGGTCATCAAATCGCATCGTTATCAATTTCAAGGACACCAACTGTTATCCTACTCGAGCACGTTTGTGAAATCTTTGTGTTATCGCTCGAACCGCGCCTTTGTGAAATATTCCAACAATATGAGAAATAAGTTCAAGCGGATGATCAAAACACAAAACGGCAGAAGGGGAAAACATCGAGCAAGTTGGCAGGTCGCTCTCAGACAGTGCAGCACCATCCGAATGCAAATTCCTCTCATTTTAACAAGCAATGTTTGTCCTCTGTTGGGAAAAGTTTAGGAGGTAGCAGACATCACACGGAGAAAGGAGTACAAAAACCTGGGAATTATTATGCTTCAGAAATTGTGGCTGCACGAAGATATCCCTAGTGAAATTGTACCATCGATGGATATCCCTTGTATCGGGTTGACCGTCCCGTGAGTGCCCGTAAACGAGGTGGAGGTGTTACAATTTATGTTAGCGACAACTGGAGTAAATCGACCGCTATCATCTCTGGATACTCAACGGATAAAATCAGTTGTCACGTCATCGAACGTAAGCTCCGTTTTTTGAATGGGTTTCATTCCATACTTCTTGGAAACTTTTACTTGTCACCAACAATATCAGTGGCTGATATCAATAGCTTTTCTGACATATTTTCTACCTCCATAATATGATGTAACATTCCTCACCACACTGGGTCTACAAAATTTGGTACATTTTCCTACTAGACTCAAATCACAGCTTGATTTCGTTTTTAAAAACAGACCGCAATTTTTTGAAGTCAATGAGCGAGCTCCTCTGAGCAGTTTAGATCTTAGTATCTTAAAAGTATGTCCCACTGTATACAGCAAAACTAACCGATACACATTTTAAGAAGGCCTTACAAGATAGCGAGTCAAAGAAATTGTTCATCAGAGAATCTAGAAAGGCAAAGATTCATGATTGCCACGACAGATTTTTCGGTGTTTCCCCATCAGAACCCTTCTGTCCTCTGTGAACATGTTACGAACTACCTAAATTTCTGAAACGGTTTTTATCCATAAAGACAGCTATTCATCACCGCTACTCAAGCAGTTACGCAGGCGGTAAGAACAAGCCTATAAACAAGAACAAAGAATCCTTGTCATGCGGCCAACAATTTCGATCAAAGAGGAAATAAATCGGTTGAAGAAATTGTACATCGGCACTATCCTGGGAAACTCTAGTTGTCGTGGCATGTGGAGACCTAGAAACCGATTGTGTGGCAGTACCACTAAACACAAAATGGAAACTGTCGACGTTGAGAGACCAAATTCTGAGTTTAGTCCAGTTTCACAGTGCAGTGCCCTGCCAGACATATTCAGGTCTATGCGGACACCAACTATCGAACTCGCCACGGTCCTGAAACAGCTAACGAAAACTAAGCTGAATAAAGCATCGGGCCCGGATGAACTATCACCCGTAGTACTCAAGGTGGGTGCGGACACCCTATCAGCCCCATTATCAAAAATATTGAATGACTGTCTGATAAACGGAAAAATCCTTGATATTTAGAGTTTAGTCAAGATAACTCCCGTTCCTAAAATGGAACTTGGGAAGTATCTTCCCATCGCCTGCACGTCAGCCATGCTCAAATTATTTGAAAGATGCTTGTTATCGTGGGTTGTCACTGAGTCTGACGAAGACGACATATATCAATTTGCATATCGCTCTTCACGCTCAACACCTGATGCCGTTGCATACCTTGTTCATTCACTAACTTTGGCACTAGATAAGAAAAGTAAGACCGTCAAAATGCTGTGCTTAGACTATAAAAACGCTTTCGGCAGTCTTGACCGCTCAACCTGCTCAACCTGATTACCGAAAGTGATGTTAATCCAAACATTAGCAGATCGATCTGCGATTGTTTTACAAATAGAAGGCAGTTTACGTGCCTCAACTAAAAAATGTCCTTCACTCACTCTGTTTCTTCTGGTGTTCTGCAAGGTGCAATATTTTCCCCATTCTTCTTTTCTATGTATGTCAAACAATTTTCCATTCCTCTTGCATCCATTGACTGTAAATATGCAGATGACTTTGTTTTAGGTTGCAAAGCCTCCACCCCTGAAGAGGCTTCAGAAGTGCAAAGCAAGTTAAACGACATTGGCAATTGGTCCCTGTCCCGTTCCCTCTCATTCAATGCCTCTAAATGTCAAGATGTTGTATTTTCCCTCTTGACCGATGTACGTATTCAGCCCTCACAGATGGGTTCCCCATCCTGTCTGCCAATCAACATTCCGTACCCAAATCAACAGTAGTAACATATCTTGGCGTCACCCTATCACACAATTTATCATGGTCACAGCACGTTCAAAACACATTCTGTAAAGTTAGAAAGCTTTCATATTTCTCATTCCGATTGAGATTACTTTCTGTTCCCCACAAGCTGGTTGTTAGATTTGTGAATGCAGCGTGCTACCCCACTGGTTGTATTGCTCTCCAGTAATTTTTCCCGGTATGTTGAAGAAAGACTTTTATTTACTGGCGAGATCTCTAAAACACATCTCTAAATGTAGTGGCATGGACAGGGATAAACTGGCCGATTCCATCATTGACAGACACCTACAAGCTTGCGAAATTTTCACTGCCAAAATACTCTCAGACACTTACCACCCATCATACAACGAATTTTCAAAAGCTATATCCACATCATCCACAAGCTCACGATTTAAACTTTTATTTGCTCGTACCTCTGCTTCTCGCAATTCTGTTCTGCCATATATAGCACGTCTACTTATTGACAAAGAGAAAATTTCCGCCGGATTGCGCAAATACTTGCTTCATTGACAAACAAAATCTACTGCTTTCAGTTTCATTATGTAATGATTTTATAACTTTGAATCCACAAATATGGTGTCAATGCTGAAAATTCACCCATCCAGGTGCATAAAGCTACCACTGATTCGACTCTTGACTATGACAACGAACAATAGAACCGTAATTCAGACGACAAACTAGGCTGAGAATAAGCCAAGCAAAGAGGTCGAAAGATTACGAAACAAGCCTACGTAACTGAACGGGTGAAGGCGAAATATTACCATACCACAAGCACTAAAGATATCACCCCGGATAGCGATAAGGTGTTTGCAAAGTAATGACCTAGCATACTCAGCGAAAGAAATCATGAAGTTTAAATAACATGTACAAAACAAGTTCATTGGCCATCCAAGACTTGCCAATCGCGTGCCAGTACTTTTGACGTTCTACTGCTTCTGTTTGGTTGGTGCAATCAGCCTATGGTTTGAAGTCCAGAAGCTGTAAGGCGTAGGCGCTTTGCTGATGTCACTTGGAAAGCTTGATTCATCACAATAGTTCGAAAACTGTAACGCGTCGCTCCGTTGTTTGCGTCATCCCGTAGGCTAGGATCACCACAATCCTCCGAGAGAAGCGAATGATCGAGTATTAGATCACACTCAAAACGACCTAAAACAAGCATTCATCAGTTGATAAAACCAAAGCTGTTAGCGCTGTCAAGCTGTCAAATGCAGAACACGGGGAAAAGTATCGACTCTGAATCAATTTATTTTGTAAATGTTTCCATCAAGATTTGAGAACACAGAGAATATCCGCTTTCTAAATGCTCGAACATGTCTTACGTACATAATAGTTCAATGGTCAGTCCTTAATGCAACATTGAGTGATTATCACTTGATAAATAACCGCACAGGACAGATATTCCTATTCGCGCTTGTGTATGTGTGTTTAGTGTCAACTGGTCGGCCGTTCAGTTCTCAGTCAAACTATGGTCGCATATGGCCAACCTTGGAATTTTATATTTCATACTGAAGCCACTTACAACGGCCCTCGCGTTACACTGATCCAGTGACGGTGTACGTGTGTGTGTACGGGGTTTTAGGTTGACCATGAAACCATTAAATAATTAATTATTTGATGTCCCATTTGAATTTTGCATTAATTTTTCGACCACTGGGGCAAACACAGTTATACCCTAGCCGAAGGGAGATTTTCATCTGAAATTCCAAAAATGTAATCATTCTCGTTGTGTTCTGTGGAACCAATATACCTTTTTAGATCTTAGAGGCATTACACAATACATCTGGAGCCATACGGCTTGCTTTTGCACAATGACAAAATGCTGTACCTTTAAAATGCTACTCATTCTGATTTTCTCCATGTACATGAGCACGTTTCTTAATGGTAGGGTCATTGGGTACACTGAAATTTATCGATTTTCCATCTGTTCCTTGTTTCATTACTTTACAGTGACAACTTATTTCTGTATCCATCTAACGGCTAATTAGTGTGGTAATTACAGAAAATGTATTGTCTTCCCCCTTCATAAAGAAGTTAGTTCTGAATCACTTCACTTGAAATTGGGTAAAATGTTGTTGTCCATTGGATCACAGAAATTTCATATTCTCGTTTTGTCTGCTCTGTTGAGCGTCATTGAGAAGATTTCTGTTCCAAGGTGATTATCTCAGGACATGTAAGCATGTCTTCACTCTTTCGCTTAACTTCACTCACTTCCACGGATATATTCTCACCAAGGCCTTAGAAGGAGTCACATTTGTTCACTATATTGCTAATGGGATTGTATACCGTTTGACGTTTATACTGATTTTACAAGATGCTAAATGAGGACACTTCAAATTTACTGGAATTAAACGGTGCTGGATGATCGCTCCTGTCCCCCCCCCAGCATTTGTCGGTCACTAAAGTCGAACCCAATAAAAGAGGCTACCACTAGGTGCCTCACATGAAACCTTGTTCTCTTCAAATTTTAGGGGTTGAATCCTTTGTCTTAGAGTTCATTTATTTGTCAGTCTGAATTGTTGGCTGGTTGGTTGATTAGTAGGCTAGCTTACTGGGTGGGTGGCTGGGGAGTTGGTTCGTTGGTTGACTGGCTCGCTGGGTGGCTGGCTAACTGATTAATTAGCTTCTAATCTATCTCTCTGGAACAGAGATGTAAATAAATCACATCAGCAATCTCATATTGTTGGATTTTTAGTAGGTATCTCATGCTTAAAGTATGTTAAAGCACAACACTTAACAATTATTGAAGGATAAAACTTGACTTGACAAAATCACACTTGCAAATTCCCCTTACGTTTCGTAGATTTTCAAACCCGATGGAACTTTTCTTTCCAGTATCGGTGATCTGGGGTCGACAGGAGACAGGCTGATTAGCCCTTTCGATCTCACCATCACCATCAGTGGCGATGTCTTTGTGTCTGATTACCAACTGGAGGAAGTGAGTCTAGCGAAGTATGGTCTTTCAACTGTCCGAAGTGCTCATTTTCTGTCCATTCGCATCACGTGATCCGAGTTACTCTTTCATAATCGTTTCACAACTGCTATGGTTACGATGATTTTGAGTAGTCCGTCTTAAGCTCAAATGGTCCAGTGAGTAAAACAACACACCACTGTAACTTATCACGCGACCAACGGACATACAAACACTCTCGTAGAACAAAATCATTTTCCTTCCGAGAGGTGGAATTTTTCGTCTTTGATTTGCAGGGTCTAATGTAGAGGAACTGAGTCGAGGTCAAAAATGTTATCCTAGCTAACCGATAATTATGACTCAGAGAACGATTAACCTCTCGATGGATTGAACGTGATGAAACAGGATGGTAAACAAAGCTCGGTTCCTGTGGTTGATTGACTGGCAAAATACGGCACGGTTTATGATAGACCATATGTGGGCAAGAGAAAAGATATGAATGAAAAAGTGGACCTGATTGGACGGTAATGGTGTAACTTCGATTATTGCTGTGTATGATCTTTAAGTGCGTAGTTAAGCGAATTCTTCTTTTTTCATGGCTGCGATATCACTAAATCGCGCACTGATGAAAGCTGTTTGCATTGAACTTTAAGTAAACTATATCTGTCTGCATTCGACAGAACCATGCAAGCTGTCTGAAAAACGCGGTGATAAAAGTTAGTTCATAAGTGCGTATGAAGCAAATATGCATGAGGATTTCTTCCCTCTCATCCGCAATGCTCTGTGAAAAATTCCGGCTGTCTGTGTGTGAAGGGCCAGTGTGTGATGCAGACACGTGTTGCTTTACGGTGTAGAGACTTGACAATTACGGGAACAGGATAAAGATAGACTGTCGGCATCATATTTCACGAGTCTATTTGTTAAACCGGACAAGAAATATGGAGGTTAGGTGCCGAGTTTCAGGTAACCTTGGTCGCCCACGAGAGCAAATGCTCGACCTCCATAGATCACATTGACTGGTGCCTATTTTACTCATGTCACCACCCAGCTTGACCAGATAGGAAGTGTTTAGAAGAAGGCTAAGGACAGTCAAATTAAGGCCTATCATGGGGGAATGAGAAGACTGACTAGGAAACTCGGACATGTAGGTCGCCCTAGGCTCCGCGGTTGTGGACTGGGGATCAGTATCATTGATTGTTAAAGTGTAATGGTTGCATTAATTGAACTGGAACTGCTGGTTAAGAATAGTGAAATTAGGAAGTGCACTGAACTTTTCATTGTCATCCAGCAACCCTGAAATGTTTTCAGTTTCCTGTCATTCTCCTATTAAATTCTCTGATTACATTACCGTTAAGCTTTTCAACTCCTGAAACCGCAAACATTTCGCCTGCTGCAGAGTCTGTAGGCTTCGAAGGCGACAATTTTATCACGAAAACCCCATGATGCTCAGGGGCATGGTTGCTCTAATGGGTTTTTTTCCATATTTTCGGTCATCGCTTAACTGACTCTCTCAAATTCTGTCTTGATTTTTACTGCCCGATGAAAACACTTTAGACCGAATCGATCGTTTTCCCTCTCCTTCGGAAACAAGTGCGTCGAAAAAAGTAACTAGTTTTTAAATCTAGAGACTATCATTTGATGAAGACCCTATCAAAATTCATTAGGATTGGATTTTGCTGTCTAAATTTTTGCGTATACTCAGCACAATTTTCCAATTAAGGCAAAAAACATGGCGAATGCTTAAACAGTTTTCCGGTTCTCCGAACAGAAGAAGTGACAGACACAGAGATGCGCGGTCAACCAGTATATACACGCTCAAATACACACACACACACACTAACACCATTGTCGTTCGACCTTGACGTGACATTCTAGGCAGATCACGTTGTGCGCGTTGACCCTGCACCTGCTTATTCGCACGCTTTTGCGGATTGCTTGCACCCTGTCGTTTCTAATTGCTCACCGACCCTCAGACCGGCGGTGTGCACGCTACACATGAACGAGCTTGATTATTTTTGCCGGAACACAGCAGATTCAAGGTGTGCTCAATGAAGTCACGTCATAAACAAGTTTGTCTTTTATCGTGTGCCTGCAGAACGAGAGAGACAGAGAGTTATTTCGTCAGTCAGGGGGTTTTCAGTTCACATGTTCAATTAATGCGACAACTTTGCCATTTATCGGATAAATGTTTCTCAAATCATGAGTACGCCCAGTCGGTGTGTTGTACAAAGGATCGTGCCATACATGCAGTCCAAATCCCAAAAGCTGCGCCAGAACGCGCCGATACACACGCGGACAAGCACGCAAACGGATGTTTGGCTGTTGGATACTGAATTCGTCATCAGACAAACGTTTCGTGCAACTCTGTTTGTTGCAAACGCGAAAGTGCAGACCAGATCATTCATTCCCTGTCCATTAGGACCTGATTATTGCACGATAAATTAAATGAAAGCAATGTTCTGAATCGTTGTCTGAATTGTTGCCCACGAGGTCTCTGTTCGCAAGATCTCGGGTCGATCCGTGATGGTGATATCTAGGTGTTGCTTTGACAAATTATGCACTGGTTTTTGATTGAGCCTTTGTTGGGTTCGCTTGTGTTCGCCACACTGTGAAACCTTGACGGAATTATGTGCAATAAATGGCGCAACAGCATTTTGGCCAAAGTCACCAGGTGGGTGACCGGTGTTTCTATTTTGACAGAGCACATATGTGAGTGCGTTTGTGACTGAGGAATGCATGTTTTGATAAACTGCTGTCGAGTTCTAACGTTTAGTGCATAAATCAGAGTGACTGGTCATTGTGTGGAAACAGAGACAACTTGAGAGCTCACGTTGGCTTCAATTGACCTATTCACATACATCAATCGAACAGCCCGCTGAATGGCAATCAACACCGGAGCTAGTTAGGTTGAAACAACAATTCTGTGACATGAGCCAGCTTGACGCTTGCCGATCGGGCCGTGCGATTAATCGACCTGAATAATTGTATGTTTCTTGACTGTTCGGCGGCTCAGTGATATGATTAGAATGACAGAAACAAAATATGGCTATAAAACCAAGACACTGGAAAATAAATTGAAATTGCTAACTTGAAGATTCGATCACAGGATCGTTCTCGGGGAATGCATTTGATTGACTCCATTTCTGTACCATTACCGCTCGTGATCGTAACCCTATTGGGTTGATTCGTTATTCGTTTAGAACTGCACTCATGCGGTTCAGGCTAGAGTGCACACAGTGCAGTCGAGATTCTTCTCCATCAGCCATAGCTTAAATGCAGAAATAGTGTTTATGATTCCACTCACCGAATGTCAGTCTTTCGATGATTGGTTTCCAGCTCAATAGTGCGGAAACAAACCAAGATCATTTTGACAAATGATTCACACAAACCGTGTGTGGTAAGTCAACACTCCGAGGTGACACCTGCCAAGCACCTACGCGTTCCAGTTGCTGGACACCGAAACACAGGCCACAAAATTCCACCAATCCAGGGCTATGCAGTTTAAATAGAAGCCGTGTGACTCGGAGGACGAGAGCTGCGGTTGTATCATATTCGCTTGTCCAATGATGTTTCTATTTACCTATGGTTTAATCAGGTTTGCTTCCATGGATATACAAACCGCAACTTCTGTGGCCTTTTACCATATCTCAGTGAGGGGAGATTCTCGCCCACGATTGCTAGAGGGTTTCTGTGCTTCAGTTGCAACCATGATTCGTGATCCGTAATCAGTACCTATTTCGATTACTACACGAACCTCACTTGGGGTGAGAATATCCTGCGTATTCCCTTGCCAACCCACTTGAAAACAACGTCTTAGAACAACGAACTAATTCTCTCTCTGTGATGCAGTGCGACGATTATTGATAAATGTACTATCTGTTCAGTAGAGAAAACCCAATTGGAACTTAAGTCAGGTTCGATGTGTAAAGCACACTGTGTATTTTCCTTCCACTAATCGACGAGTTCGTTTCCTCTTAATCAGGTCCGTATCTTCAGTCTTGATGGACACCCAAAAGGAACTCTCACGTCGGAGCCGTTCAAGCACCCCCGAGGAGTGGCCAGTGGTTTCGGTCTGGTAGCCGTGGTAGACAGTCGAAGACGTCGTGTGGGCCTGTACGACTTGCGGTGTGATTCCAAGTCAATCGTATTGAACATTCCGTTGGCTACCACCCACACAGATGCGGACACTTTGAGCAATGTGCGCCCCTCACTAACCGAGCCGTACTATGTGGAGCTGATCGAATGCGGATCGGGCTATGTGGCTGTGACTGATTGGGCTGCACCCAGTCTAAAATTGTACTCAATGAACACCGGCAGTTGCGTTTCCATGGCCGGTGGCTATGGTACGGGTCTGGATCAGGTAAATGGAAGTCGTTACCGTATTGTAGAGATAAAAAAAATTTGCGATTAACACGTTGAGGGAGGAGTACTGTTTATTAGCTCCCAGAGGGTGGTGGAAGGAGAAACGGAAGTATTGAGATAAGTTTAACGGAGGTATTGACTTCAATTCAAAGGGGTGTAACATTCGGAATACTGGATGAATGCAAGTTATTTTAGCTAACGGTACCCTGACGTTCCGATTCCCCCTTCCACGGGGTGGTTCTCCACAGCAACGTTGAATTATCCATTTCGTTTTAGTTTTACTTCCTTTTATTTAATACACAGAAATGCAATTTACAGGAACGGGGAAACGGCCAATCAGAGGGCTGTCTTGCAAGTTGTGATGGCATTCAAACACACGTCCTGCGGGGTGATAATTTGATGACACAACCGACAGACCACCACTGTCCCAGAGGATGCATTTGATTAATTCACGGTGTTGATATTGAATGCGGTAATGAGTGAATTTATCTCAACTGGTACCGTTGCATGTGGTGCCGCAGTGCTTTAGTCCCTGTCACCGGCTTCTTCTAGGCCTTATGGTCTGAAGCTTGAGCCCCACTATCGACACACGATTTTTGTGGTAGGCGGCTTTGCTGTCATCCGGCTCAGTTCCAAGACTAACCTAGTGCGGCCTTATGTGGTTCACCACTCCAAGCCCCGGGGCTTAGGTTACCGGTTTTCATCACCGAACAACGGGTCTTCGCGACTATGGAGTTTGCCCGGTCTGTTGTACATCACACATATGTGTGTGATAGGCGGTTGCGCATATGGAAATAGTTGTTGGAAAAAGAAACCCCAACGAGTAACTAAGTGAATCGAGTGTCAATGGACAAGGGTTGACATGGGTACAGTGTTAGTGGGTCGGTTAATAGGGAGATGAATCGCAGCAAGCTGCAATATACATATATATATATATATATATATATATCGAACGAAGGAAGGAATTCAGCGGTATATCTATCACCCACTTTGAAGGCAAGTTCAGTACTGAGCAGGGATCAATCTTTCACACTTACAGTATACCACGAGCAGGGGGAAAACAGATGGTGCAATCCACTTTATCATTTTTGGGGACGAGATACTGATTTCCGTGATGTTCCATACTTTCCATAAATGTAGTTTGCTGTGGGTTTTGTTTGATTAAAGTCTGTTTATTCCCATTAGATCTCAGTGTGGCTTTAAAATTCAAAGGTATACCTGTCAAGATAACTTGATGACGTCACAGATTTTATATAACCTCTGATTTTATAAAAAAACTTATCAAAAGACCATTTGTGGTCTAGATAAACTATCGATTGCTCTCGATTATGACTTCGCAATAAGCATAGTTGTCGCAGCATCAACTATCAACGAACTGGAAGCTTCTGTACATATTCACGGTCCACATAGCAGGTAGTATCGTTGCTTTAGTTGTAAGAGCTGGAATTTGACCCTAAACTCCATAGAATTTTACATAAAACCATGCTGGATTACTATTTCCAGCAATTTTACTAGATGAAGATTCTCTCTCATCCTTCACCTCGAATTTAGATGCTTCAGCCCTACGGACTGGTCCATATGACCAGGGAGAAACGTTTGCTGATAGCTGATCACGTGAACCATCGTATTCAATGCGCTTCGATTCAATCCATCACCGATCCGTCCGCATACGGCCTGGGGATGGAGGTGAATGTTGGCGACTCAATGAAATTTTGCACTCTTGGATCATTGTACCCGGTGGCTGACAAAGTAACCAATTCCATTTGGCACCCAATGGCTCTTGCGGTCGACGAACGACGAAAGCGTATCGTGGTGACTGAAGCCCTGGGTAGTATCAAGGTGTTTAGCATGACAACTTAGATCCACCCAAACGACCGATTCCGGATTGACTGAATCTCAACTTAATTTCGCTTGAATTTGGTTATTAAGTTTTAGGAAACAAATAAATTTCGGTGTAAAACAATTGAGTTTTTCTTCCAATTCCACCAAGAAGGATTATTTTCAAATGATCTGTGATGGCCTACCGACTTCACGTGTGGACAGCCCTTGAACCTGGGAAAAGATATGACTAATCTGATGGTACTTGACGTATTATGAAATCACGGGGCATTTTTTGACGACTTCCTAACAATCTGCATCGTGCCTAAGCGGTTCCAAACAAATGAACTGTCCCAAACAAACCACCTGAAGGCTAGTTCGCAAAACATCATATTGGTTACCAGTTCACCATGGTAGTACCATCATTTGCATATCGGGAGTAAACGCTGAATGAAATTATGGCACTAATTTGTGCTTAGGATGCTTTCAAGGTGAGCTAACAACATATTCCGGACCAAGTTGAGTTTCATCAACACAAGGAGACATATGTGGACAGAACTCATTTTGGTCATCAACTTCGCTTGCTCTCATTCATCTCTAAGCACACAGTTATACGATGATGTAAAACGAAGAAACACATGAGTTGAAATGGGTCATTTGAACAAGGTGGTGGTGGACCGGTGAGTTGGGTGATTTCTGTTTGGTTAGGGATTGCGGTCAGGTTAAATGAGAAAATTTGATGTGGAGATGAACTGGTTCAAACGATGTGGTGAATGTGGTGGAAGAATGAAGGGTCATGTCACACTACGGTAGAATGGTATCAAGTGTGATATCAGCACTACCACGGCAACAACAGTTGCGTTGAAAAATGCTTTTTGAATGCAAAATTGCGGTTTCAAGCGATGAATAGTTATTGCTTCTAAAAATCACAACCAACCATTTTGGTGACACTACAAGACGCTTACTCAACGCGTCGCACACATCAAGATCAACTTGTATGTTTCTTGGACTATTTTTTCAGTTCTTTCAGTATTGTGGATAATGCGTGAGTAGTTTGTAGCCAAATAATTTATCAATTAATTAAAGCTAGGATATTGTCTAGTAAATGTTATAATGGTAATAGCACAACGATGTCGGTAGAGAATTATATTCGGTGAATATATTTCTCTACCGACATCACTGTGCTATTAACCGTACAACATTCACAATAAAACAACACATGGTGCATCGATCTTTTTGATGCGCTCCTAACATCATTTGGTCCAGAAAATTTTCATTCATTCGCTTATTTACTGTGCATTGAAATAAAAGAGATGAGCGATTTAGAATACGTGTGCTCAACTTAATAAAACTCTCATGGAAGAGGAATCAATTATTAAAGGAATGAACACCCATGCTGCTTTAAAATATTTTACAAAGTCGAACTGTAACATTTGAACTACTACAAATTTCATCGCGACACTCAAGGTCGCGCAAATTCAAACGGTGATAGAAGAGAACTAACAACATAGTAGTAGGGGATAAAATCAGGAATAAATGCACTTTACCCATAGCCAGGAATATACAAGTACGATATTGGAGACTGAAATGCATTTCCAAAATGACAGTCATGTTGCACGAGTTTGATCAACTCCTGTATATACACCTGTATATATTCGTTACAATTACATTTGCAACATCGGGTGAACTTGTTTCAATAACTCTTTCAGAACCAGTCCATTGAAGAATCAATACTATGATTCGATGATTTATAGGTGGTTCAGAGGCTACTAATTGCAAAAAAACAACTTAAACGTCTTTATTCAATGTTTTACAGGAAACAGTATACGAATGACTGCTTATTATGATGAAAGTATATTTCCTCGGTATGTGAAGGAAAAGACAAAAGACAACCGGATACGCATGCCTGAGGAGCGGCAAGAACCGCGAAACCGACTGTGTGCTTCCAGGGAAATTTTATCCAGTCATTCATCTACTACTTCTTGTAATATATATGTCAAGAAAAAGATTGGATTATCTGCAGTACTCGAAGAGTTCTAATGCAAAAGTAGCTACCGTTAAAATTGTTGTATGATTAACCAGCAGATGGGCATAGTCAGGAATGATAGTTTTTCTGTACGTGAATTTAGGTGCCAAAACGACTTGGTATTTGAAGTCTGCTCTGGGATTGGATAGACCGTTCATAATTTCGTTATGCATTGACCTTGGTGATCAGATATCCCATCAAATGTATCTCAATATTTGGAAAGAGTTTCTAAAACAAATAGCTCTTCTCAATGCCATTGTATCAGAACAACATTTTAAGAAACCTGGAAAACAAAGTGAAACATTTTTCTTTCAATTCAGAGATGAATATGGGGAAAAGTGTAGCCGGTGTAGAATAATACAGAAAATCATAAACTTAGGAATATGGTTTTTCGGTTGGTGTTTTGAGCCTGCATGCATGAAAAGAGTGTGAGTGAAAAGTGTTCCTTTTTCCTTGAAAATGCTTTCAACTTGTGCTGACGAGGACAGGCTACGCGTGAGGACGACACCAAGATAATTAAGAGAATACGCTTTCAGGATACTTCAGCTAGTGAAAAGAAAACTGGAGAATAATATCAGAAAACGTGGAAAAGTTTTCAAATCGGAAGAAAACGCGACACAGCTGTTGACTTTGAGCATATGGGATCGGAAAAAAGAAGAATTGCGAAGTCTATTTAGACAGTTTTAGAGAGGTTGGGAGATACTTTGACTAAACTAACTGAGTAAAATGGTGAACATTCCATACTAGGTTCCTCTTAACCTGATGCGGTAACCCACTATTGGCACGGTAACGCTAAATAAACTGCACGGATAACTATATTTGGATATAGTTTGAATAGTTCTATGAGCATGTTTCTACTTAACGTTGTGTAGTATTCGGGAGTAGTAAATTTGATATTATTGATTCGATTGTTCACAAGCACCTGACGGTCTTGGGTAAGTGCCCCACTCCTTGGGAGATTGTTGATTTCACATTATGTGAATGCGTTTATTAGCGATGGAAAGATTTGTGATGACCCACAAAGAGCAATGGACAACTGTTTTGCTCTGTTTGGAACTCATCAGCAGTGCGTAATTTTTGTGTTCCCATCAGGATTCGAAACTTAAACATTCGGGTTAGGACTTCACACCTTTACCCCTGAGCTACACGGTAACCACCAACGGTGCCTGGTGCCTGTGAACAGTCGAATGGATTGTTCCAAATTCACTACTCTTAAATGCCTAAACTATTAGCACAAGGTGATTTTCGTCGATCATCTAGGTCAGGATAAAGGGTTTGGGGTCCCGATCCGAATGTTCGCTATTCGAGTCCTGACGGGGACACAAAAGGTATGCAATGCTAACGAGTCCCAAACAGGACGAAACAGCTGTTTAATGCTCTTTGGGGAATGTTCCTAAAAAACCTAGATTCAATTGAGTTTGAACGGCAATAATGATCACCCAATAAGTCTCATGATGTATAAGCGAACTTTCACACATTCCTCATCGCGTGTCCAGTGCACGGAACACTTAAACGGGTAAATGGCACACACATTCATCAATTGTGATCGCGTGACATCAACTCACTCAGTCATTAATTGTCATCGTCACCTCGAGTACACGTGATTCACCAGTGGGTGCGTAAGCGTGAGGCTTCCGTGTCACGTGACCGTGATTAGTGGATTTGATTGTTTATGGTGCTTGAACATATCGCGCTCTGAGGTTACGACGTAAAAGGTCAAAAACGAGGAAACGTACTGGGTTAACCGATTTCATTTCAACTCTTTTCGACGTTGACGCAAGCACAATTAAACTTGACTTGTATCGCACCAATTTATTGAGTTTGACGTTCTGGTCCAATTTCTTTTTCTGCATGTGCATATGAAGGCATCAGTAGAACAGATATTACCACACAAGTGACGTTTGGACAGGACGAAGGAAGAATCTACTGCAAATCGGACATACACGAGTTCGCAACAGAGTAAAATAAGCACAACCGGAACCCAAGTGATCACGTTATCGGATAATGAATGCTAGGCCCGAGATAATACTACCAATTGTAATTAAAAATGACGCCTCCTGCAAAGTCAAAGTATTACGCGAACTACCGCAAACCGTTTGAGGCAATGTGCAACTCTTAGTAGTTATCACTAGTACATATCCACCGTCAAATCAGGCAGTTACTTTATTAAATGTACATTCTCAGCTCTTGACACTGTTCACTGACTGGACACGCACACAGATGACAGCTATTTGATACCGTATCATTTGACATGACAATATGCAAGTGCCTAAATATCAAAGGTGGGAATTATATGTTAAATGTTATGAAGCACCCGGATGAGACTCAGATCTCTTGGGAGAGGAAGAACTCTTTTTATTACTACATCAAATCTATCGGGTATGGAAGCTTTTTTCAAGATTGGTACATTTCAGACAAAGCTCTAATGTAACCCTAGGAAAAATATACAGACACGGTTTACCGCAATGGTGGAAAATCATGCAGAATTCCCCATGGTTTGCACAGTTTGTGAGAAGGTGATCGAACCAGCACGAAAATGCAGCATGACTTTGGGATTTTCAACAGTCGGTGAGGCTCTAGCTCAGAAGAATGTTATCCAACGCTACAAGGTATGAGAAAGTAATGCACTCTTTTGTGACTTTTTCAGGTTCATGGTGAACGTTTAGCGGTATCGCGTAATGTAGCAGACAACTTGGGAAACTTAGAAAAAGTCATGAATAACGGAACGGTGCAAATGATCATCTGGTAGTTGTTCCTTTCGAAAGGTGACCTAGAGAGGAATTCTTTTAAGAACATTGGATGCCAAATACATGGTATTCGAGAAAAGGTAATGATTAATCTAATACAACTAGTTGAAATGACCGTTTGGTGGTTATACATGGCATAAATATTCCTACTGTTTAGGTTTTAAGTTTCATCGGACCAACGATGTCAGAGGTAAACAGCGTAATGATTTCTCCAGGTCCCTCTCTTCCACTCTTTGTGAATGACTCTTGTTGCCAAGGTAAAGCCTGAG